TGTAGAAAGGAAGAGAGTAAAGACAGTGCAATCTCTTAGAGCAGTGGTTCTCAACCTTCCTAATGCCGTGACCCCAATACTACTGAATATACATTCTTCTCATCAGCTCATGGATCATTCTCTCAGATCAATCATATCCCTAGGATGCAAATCAAACCTCAGCAAATTTAAAAAACAGGAATTATACCTTGAATCATTACGGACTACAATGGAAAAAAACAGAACTCAATTCCCACAAACACTCATCCCCACACAAAGTGATGGAAACTAAACAACCTTTTGCTGAACAACAGTTGGGTCAAGGAGGAGATAAAGAAGGAAATCATGAGATTCCTTGAAAAAAATGACAACAAAGACACAAACTATTAAAACCTGTGAGATAGTGCAAAAGCAGTCTTAAGAGGGAAATTTACCACATTAAATGCCCATGTCCAGAAATTAAAAAGAGTGCAAATCATCAATCTAATGATCATTTCAAGGAACTAGGAAAGGAATCCAATCCCAAACCCAGTATAAGAGATAACCAAAATTAGATTTGAACTAACTCAAATCTAAAACAAAGGAACCATTCAGAAGATTGATGAAACAAAAAGTAGGTTCTTGAAAAGATAAATAAAATTGATAAACCCTTGGCCAAATTAACCAGAAACAAAAAGGTAAAATCTCTAATAAGCTCAATCAGAAACAAAAAGTGGGAAATAACAATGGATATCACAGAGATACAAAAGATCATCACCAAATACTACAAAATACTCTATGCCCAGAAATCTGAAAACATGGAGGAAATGGACCAATTCCTGGAATCACAATACCTCCTTATACTCAATCAGGAGCAGAACTCTGCTTCTTATCAAGCACCAAAATTATAACATCAATAAAAAATTTCCCAACATAGGCTCAGCGCTTGTGGCTTAAGTGGCTAAGGTACCAGCCAAATACACCTAAGGTAGCGGGTTCGAATCTAGCCTGGGCCGCCAAACAACAATGATGGCTGCGACCTGGGCATTGTGGCAGGTGCCTGTAGTCCCAGCTACTTGGGAGGCTGAGGCAGGAGACTCTCTTGAGCCCAGGAGTTGGAGGTTGCTGTGAGCTGTTATGCCACAGCATTCTACCCAGAGAGACAGCTTGAGGCTCTGTCTCAAAAAAAAAAAAAAAAATTTCCCAACATAAAAAAGTACTGGACCAAATGGTTTCACAGCAGAATTCTATCAAACCTTCAAAGAAGAGCTCATATCTATATTGCAGAACCTATTTCAAAATACTGAGAAGGAAAAAAGGCTCTCAACTCCTTCTACGAAGTAAATTATCACCCTGAGACCAAAACCAGGAAAGAACACAACAACCAAAAAAAAACTACAGAGCAATATCATTAATGAGTATTGATGTAAAAATACACAATAAAATCTTATGAAACATAATTCAGCTACATATCAAAAACATAATTCATCACAACCAGGTGGGCTTCATCCCAGGGATGCAAGGCTGATTCAACATATAACAAATCCATAAATCTAATTCACCACATAAACAGAAGTTAAAAAAAAAAAAAACCCGTATGCTCCTCTCAATAGATGTGGAAAAAGCCATTTGACAAAATACAGCATCCTTTTTTGGTAAGAACACTTAAGAAAATAGACTTAAATGAGACATTTCTTAAACTGACAGAAGCCTACAAAAACCCCACAGCCAGTATCATATTGAATGGTGAAAACCTGAAGCCATTTCTGCTTAGAACTGGAACTAGACAAAGAAGTCCACAACTGATGCTATGCTTCAAGACAGTGCCCAAGTTCTAGCCAATGCAATAAGTCAAGAGAAGAATATCAAGGGTATCCAAAAGGGGGCAGAGGAAGTCAAACTAGCAGTCTTTGCTGATGATAAGATCTTATACTTAGAAAACCCCAAGGACTCAACCACAAGGCTCCTAGCAGTGATCAAGAAATACAGGATATAAACACAAATGTTCACAAGTCAGTAATCCTCACAGATGCCAACATTCTGGCTGAGAAATCAAAGATAAAATACCCCTCACAGTGGCATCAAAGAAAATGAAATACCTTGGAATATATTTAACAAAGGATATGAAGGATCTCTACAGAAAGAACAATGAAACACTAAGAAAAGAAATAGCAGAGGATGCCAACAGATGAAAGAGCATACTATGCTAATGGCTGGGAAGAATTGGCATTGTTTAATGCAATCCCCATTAAAATACTAACCTCATATTTTGAAGACCTTGAAAAAAGAGTTCTACATTTTATATGTAACTAGAAAAACCCCAAATAGCCAACACAATTCAATGAAATAAGAACAAATTTGGTGGCATTTTTTTTTTGCCAGACTTTAGGTTATACTACAAGTTTATAGTGATTAGAACAGCATGGTATTGGCATAAAAATAAGAGACATAGATCTATGGAACAGAACAGAGAACCTAAAGATGAAACCAGTCTCATATTGCCATCTGTTCTTTGATAAAGCATTTTCTGCAGAAAAGAATCCCTATTTAATAAGTGGTGATAAAGAACAGGTTAGCCACATGTAAAAGACTGAACCTGGACCTGTACCTCTCATCACTTGCAAAAATAAACTCACAATACATCAAAGATTTAAATCCAAGACATGAAACTATAAAAACTTTAGAAGAAAGTTTGGGAAGATTCTGAACCTTACCAGCCTAGGAAAGGAATTCATGAAGACCCCATTGGCAATCATGGCAACAACAAAAATAAATAAATGGGACCTGATCAAGTTAAAAAGTGTCTGTACACTGTAAACTAAGGACACAATCAAGAAAGCAAAGAGATAACCTTAAGAATAGGAGAAGATATCTTCATGCTACAAATCTGACAAAGTGCTAATAACCAGAATATATAAAGAACTGAAGCAAATCAATAAGAAAAGAGCAAACAACTGGGCAAGAGACATGAGCAGAATCTTTTCTCATGAGGACAGACAAATGGCCAACACACACATGAAAAAATGTTCACTGTCCCTAATCATCAGAGAAATGGAAATCAAAAACACTTTGAGATACCACCTAACCCCTGTGAGAATGGCCCACATCACAAGGTCCCAAAGGAGCAGATGCTGATGTGGATGTAGAAAGAAGGGAAAACTCATGCACTGTTGGTGGGACTGTAAATTACTAGACTCTGTGAAAAGAATTATGGAGATTTCTCAAAGAACTAAAAGTAGACTTTCCATTTGATCCTGCAATCCCATTACCAGGTTCTACCCAAAAGAAAAAAAATCATTTTACCGTAAGGACATTTGTACCCCAATGTTTATAGCAGCTCCATTCACAATTCCAAAGATGTGCAAACAACTCAAGCACCCTTTGACCCCTGAATGGATGTTACATGTATACCATGGAATACTATTCAGACATAAAAAAGATGGGAGATTTTGTATCTTTTGTAACTACCTAGAAAGATTTGGAGAACATCCTCCTAAGCAGAGTATCACAAGAATGAAAAGACAAGGATCACATGTACTCAATACTAAATGAAAATAGACCAATTCCTTGATGGATTGTTAAATGGTTCCTTTTACCTTTCTTTTCTTCCTCCTTCCCTCCTTCCTTCCTTCTCTTTCTTTCTTTCTTTTTGGCCATAACTCACTGTGACCTAAAGTCCTAAGCTCAAGCAATCCTCCTGTCTCAGCCTCCAGAGAAGCTGGAACTACAGGCATGCTAGTGCATGCCCAGCTAATTTTTCTATTTTTAGTAGAGACGGGGTCTGGCTCTTGTTCAGGCTGGTCTCCAACTCCTAAGCTCAAGGGGATCCTTCTGCTTCAGCCTCTCAGAGTACCAGGACTACAGGTTTGAGCCACTGTGCTCTGTCACTGTACTTAATTTAAGTAACCTATTTTATAAACCAGTGATCCTAATTAAACTCCTTAAGAAGAGAGATTCCTTTTCTTCTTTTTTATTCTCCTTGCACAATTCCTGGCGCATATTAACTGTTTAATAATTGTAACTTTTGAGCTTTACTGGAAATCAAGAAATGCTGACTTCTAGTCTCAGTTTTGCTCACTATGTGATTAGATACTTTCTGTATTTAGCTTATGCATCTATAGATAAGCTAATGCTAAAACCCCTTCAGATAAAAATTCTATGTAACTTTTTATTTTGCTCTGTATGTGACAGTACCTTGTATTAAATTCTCTACATCAACTTTAAAAATTAACATTTGATTATAAATTAAGTAACTTGTAAAAATATCGAAAGAGTAAACACCTCAATGCATCTTTTTTGGCACTGCTACCTGGAAATTAGCTGTGGATCTAACAAAATGTCTTCTAAGAAATTATCACCTACCAGAATGACTACATAGAATAATGAAATTCCCAATTAAGAGGAGGAATGATGCGGGGCAAATACAATGATCCATGAAAGAAACGTTACAGAGTTTTAATATACAATTTGGTCTTACTTGGTTCAAAAATAATTAGTATATAACTGAAACAGAACTATACCATTAAATACAGCAACAGTCTCTTTCTAAATCGGGTTTAGTAATCACATGGCCACAATTCAAAAGTCCTTAACCGAAGCAAAAATGGTGTAGGTTTATAATATTAGAACTGGTTGAAAGCGGTGGAAGTGATTCAAACAAGTGTCATCACCCCGTCCAATGACCACGGAGAACGTGTATCAGTGCTGTATTGTGAAATTCTCCGTATCAGAGCGTGTACTGGGTAGAAAAGGGAAAGGCAAATTACGAAACAGAGAAAAGCTACCGACATCACCAGTACTGGCCCCTTTCCCATCGGAGGAAAGGGAGATGGTCAAATTCCCAATCCCGCCTGACTCCTCGGTCCCCGGCCCCCCCAGGAGCCTCGCCACCCTCGCGCGCCTGCGCAGAGTTGGCCCGCTGCCGGGGCGGCCCTGGCCTCTCCACCGCCCTGCCGTCCGCAAGAAGTTTCTAAGCCAGTGAAAGGGGAAGAGGCAGAGCAGCTGGGCTAAAGGAAAGAGGCTGGCTGGTCCTCCGCACTTACTTGGTACTCGATCTCCAGCGAGGCCTTCAGGGGCATGGGCTGGTAGAAACATTCCTTCTGGCCGGCCGGGAGGGTGAAGGTGAAGTCGCTGTCTAAGGAGGGCGTGAAGCCCACCGCCCCAGGCAGCAGCCCCGGAGCCAGAGCGGCCAGGAGGAGCGCGGGGAAGGGCAGCCAGGTCTTGACGCCCATCCCTGTGGGGGCAATCTCGAGCTGAAAGAGGCGTGGGAGGTGCGGGATACTGGCGTCTTGGCTCCGCTTTTCCTCCCCAGATTCCTCGTGGTTAGCAGGGAAACTGGAGTCTGGTGGCGGCCGCTGCGGCGGCAAACTCCCTTCGGAGGGAAAGCGCAGTCTTTCACAGGGTAGGGACTGAGGGCGGGGCCGCCCGTCCCTCTGCGAAACCGCCTCAGTCTCGGCCCCCTCAGGCGGGGCGTGACTGCCAGTCGCCTCACACCCTGACGGCCGCAGGTCCCCATGGCCTCTCCCACACCAATGGGCGGCATGGCAGCAGTTGTGGGAAATGTAGTCCCGGGCGAGCTCGGCGAGCGGGCGCGGAGGCGCTGGCCGAACCACGAACCCCGGCAGGCCTCGCGCTCCGCCGTCGCCTCACGCAGCGCCGGCCTGGGGGCGGGGCTGCGCCCAGGGCGGTGCGTCCCAACGGCTCCCGCGGCGGTTCGAACTCGGCGCGGGCAGGGTTCTCTGGTTCTTCGCGTCGGGTGTCTGAGGCTTCCGCGGCTAGGAGCCCGAGAGAGGGTCCCAAGCTTCCGAGCGCAGACAAGAGTGCGGCGTGCGGGTCTCTGCCCAGCTGCGACTTTGGTGGTGAGCGACTGCGCCTTGTTTGCTGGAAACTTTTGGTCGGCCCACTTGGGGGAGTTTTGTGCGTTTCCTTCCCGACTCCTTGTTTGCGCTTCAGCTGGTCTCGGCGGTTGCTTAGTGTGCTGCTGTGCATGGTTGTATTATATTTGATGAAAAATCGAAGAGAAGGATGTCAGGTTTTCCTCCGCTTCCACCGGTTGGGTGTAGGATCCAATGGAGCGTTTTTGAGACAGGAGACCACTGTATAAAGCTGTGCACCTTTCCAAAATGAGGGATTTTTTTCGACGACAGCCCATCTTATCAATTACGAGGGTATAAAAGAACACTTGTCCTTTGTGCGATGGGTATGCATGTGCAAAACTACAAACGCATTCTTAATTAGAGCTGAAAAATGACGTTGTCAGGATCGGTAGGTAGGATGATGTGCCTTCTACGTATGTACAGGCAATGACGATAGGCTTTTTTTGTAACTACTGTAAATCGAAGTGAGGCGCAATCATTATTGACAGTAAACGGACCACTAGGAAAATGAAGATATTTGAATATCAAATGTATTCATTGCCAGTTTAGAAGAGTTAGAGAATTCTTAAAGTACTCAGTTGTTGAACATAAAACCTGATTTAAGATGAAACATATACTGAATGGCATTTTAGAATTTTCCCAATTTTCTCTCTCCTTTTCTCCATCGTACAGGGAGCTAGAGACGTTGGATAGACAAAGCAGGATGGGGACCTGATCCGTTAACTTTTGTCTGGGAGTCTGATCACTTTAATTAGAAGCATATTTGTGGAAACAAAAAGGGGAAAGAAAACAGGACGGCTTGTTTATTAAGATTACATAGCATCTCATTTAATTTCCTGCCAGTTACTTCCGATAAGGTGAGAGTATGCTTTCTAATCCTCCTACTTCTGAGACTATTTCAGTGGGAAATAAATGTATTATTCTAGCCAGATGGCGGAAAGAAGGACCATTTAATATTCGTTCAAAATATTGAGCTTCTTTAAATATTAAATACATTACAGTTCTAAACATAATGGACAGGACTCTTAATCTTTTGGAGTTTGGAATGTGGTTAAAATTCTAAGGAGGATGAAAGATGCTACAATGAAAAATGTAAATAGGATCTGTCACATCCCACTCCTGACACCTCTTGTCAGGGCCCTGGACTGGCCAGTTCTTGGGCCCAGTTTAACTAGGTTGGGAACAGGACCGCTAAGCCACCTTGCTCAGGAACAATTTCTCTCAGGTGCCTGAGGGCTATTGACTTTAGTAGAGGAGAAAGAGAGAGATAGTCTTTGAGTAAAGCAGTCTTCTTAGAAAGATAGAGTGTAGTCTTTAGTAGAGCTTGGTAATATTCAGCAGAGAGATGCCATGCTGGCATTAGGAGTGGAGACAGAGTCAGAGTAAGCCAGTCTGTGATAGAATGTGCATGCTCCCCACAGCCTTCTCCTCCAGCCTATTTTATAAGGCTAATCTCGTGCCTCTCAACACCACAGGTACAGATACTGCCAATTCACCAATACTGTCATCTCCCAAGCTCTAATGCTTGGTAGGAGAGCTAAATCCCTCTCCATGCTTTTTTCACCAAGGTGTTCCATTATTGAGCTATATAAGTATTTCTTATTAACTCTCACTCCTCCTAGCCATAGGCTATACGGGCTGCTACAGGAATCTCAAAGAGAAATGTAATTTTAGGATTATGCAGAAAGATCTAAGAAGTAGTGGACATAAAGATTTAGTTTTTTATTTGTGTTAATTACAATGTGGTGCCATATCATGATTTTTTTATGTGCAAAGGAATTTAAAAAGCTCATTGTGTATTTCTGAGTTGACCTGCCATATGTCTTTTTGATTCCTGTTATTGTGACTTACAAATGTGAATGTGTGTTATTATTTTTTTGGTGGGGGGGGCGGACAGAGCCTCAAGCTTTCCCCCTGGGTAGAGTGCTGTGGCATCACAGCTCACAGCAACCTCCAACTCCTGGGCTCAAGCAAGTCTACTGCCTCAGCCTCCCAAGTAGCTGGGACCACAGGCGCCCGCCATAACACCCACCTATTTTTTGGTTGCAGCCATCATTGTTGTTTGGCGGCCCCAGGCTGGATTCAAACCTGCCACCTTGGGTGTACATGGCTGGCGCCTTAGCCACTTGAGCCACAGGCGCCCAGCCAATGTGTGTTATTTTTAAATTTTATAATCATTTTGAATGGAAGGGGGAGATAATTTGTCTTTCTGGTAGTAAATTGCCTTCTAAGAAAATTGGAATTACTGACATGAAATCATTTTACCAGAGATCCATAGCTTGCAATGTATTTTTTAAATTTCAGAAACTTCATATTGAAATTGATGTATAATAAGTTAGAAAAGTGCAGTGTGACATAATTAAAAGGTCTTTGGATCCTGATGACTTGGATTCAAATGTTAGTTTCATTCATTATTTACAGTTTGTATGATTTGGGCAAGTTATTTATCTGATTCTTAATTTCCTTAACATAAGTAAAAATACTTAAGTTTACACAATTGTTAGGAAGATCAGATGTGTTTGGAAAGGGGAACTATAATAACTAGACCATGACTAAAATGAAAAAGTTATCCATTGAATTGTATTAACTTTCCATTGTGGCTTTACACTGCAGAAAACTTCATTGTTATTAGTTTTTTTTTGTTTTGTTTTAAACCACCGTGAAAGATTTCACAGGATTTGAAATAGAAGAATAATGAGTTAAATTCTATTAGAGCAAGAGTATTTTGACTGAAACAACAGAATCTTTCAGGCGAGGTACAAGAAATTCATTTCTTCTTTTAAGAAATGGAATCTAGTTCATCAGACTACTATAATAAAGATAATGAAGAAGAAAGTTTGCTTGAGAATGTTGCTTCCTTAAGACGTGAACTGAAGATAACAGAATGGAGTTTGCAAAGTTTAGGAGAAGAGTTATCCAGGTAAATTCAATGACAGAGAATTCAGAGTGTGACTTTAATTTATGACTTAAAATGTATGGATTTCACTCTTACATATTGTGTTTGTATTTTACCTCTGGAATAAGAGGTAATTTTCTATACTTTTTTTTTTTAGAGACAAGGTTTTACTGTCACCCAGGCTGAAATTCAGTGGTGCAATTATAGCCTTGAGTTCCTGGGCACAAGCAGTCCTCTTTCCTCAGCCTCTTGAGGACCTGAGTCCCACCATGCATAGCTTCTGTACTTTTAATATAACTCTCAGTTCAGGGAAAAATAGGAGGGTTAGAGAAGCATTTACATTTGTAAATGTATAAAATATATATTTGGAGCTTTATTAGTTTTTTATTAATATTATATATATATATATATTTTACAGTTTTTGGCCAGGCCTGGGTTTGAACCCACCACCTCTGGTATCTGGGGCCGGCGCCCTACTCACTGAGCCACAGGGAGCCACCCTATTATGAATCTTTTTGAATCCTCAGTAATCCTAGCATAGAGGCTCTGGAAATACATAGGTAGCTAGTTTAAAACTAATTATGGTTTGTTTAAAATTTAGCAGAAACATTTCCTTATGTTCATTAATTATGAATCTCATTGCCAGTAGCATTTCTGGTTTTTTTCTTTGTTTACTTTAATGTGTAGCAATTTGTAATGAACACTTAAACTAAGAACTAAAATATGTTTTTCTTTTCTCTCTAGTGTTAGTCCAAGTGAAAATTCTGATTATGCCTCTAATCCCTCGAAGTCTGAAAGGCTCATTATGGAAGATCTTGTTCAGCCTAGCCCCTCTGGACTTTTGAGTTACCCACCTTATAAAAAAGTTTGTAAAATGTCTGGGCTCAGCACTGACTTAAAAAAACAGCCAAGAGATAAGGTTATTCTTTTTAGAGTTACTTATTTAAAAGTAGTTTTAGTTTTAGATCTGTCTACTTAAAATATTTTTTCTTTAAATGCTTTATTCATGTTTTCCATAATCTTTTACTATGGTGCTTAAGAATTTAAATATAATTGTTCTTTTTATGTCCTAACAAGAAAGTAGTTATCTTGGTGTATTATTCTATTTTGAAACTTCTATAGTTATTACCTTTTTGCAGTTTAATGTCTTTTCTCAGGAAATTATAATCCCCTTTGTTTTAGCACTATGCCCTGTATGTAATAGATAACCAGTTATTTATTAAGTAGTTAAAATATACCCATTGTTTAGCCTGGATCCAGTACTATGTGATAGCATGCCACTATTTTTCTTTCATTATCCCTGAGTTTTGCTGTTGATATTAGAGATCTTTTTCTGGTCTGGAACTCTTTCTCTCTTTTTTATTCTGTCATATTATCTACCTGTGTTTATCTCACTCCATTACTCAACCCTTTTATCTCCCTTTCCACTCTCCTTTCTGTTCCCATATACACAGATATGATTGCATATATAGAACATAAACTTTTTGTATACAGATTTGATCTTTCCATTTCAGAAAGCCAACTACTAAGAGATTTTGGGGGGATGTTAGAAAAACTGGTTTTTATTTGTATAAATTTAAGGAGTACAAGCGCATAACATGGATATATTGCATAGTGATAAAGTCTGGACTTTCAGTGTTTCACCCAAATAGTGTACATTAGTTGTACTTATTAAGTAATTTCTCATCATCAATGTCTGTCCA